TTTAACTTGTTTCTGTAAGCCGCCCGGAGTCCTATGGGATTGGGCAGCATATAAATTTATTAAAAGTTAAAGTTAAAGCCTGCTTGAAAGGCAATTCTACCTGCAATATGGTGCCACAGTAGAGGTGAGTTCCTACCGGTATGGTACAGGATGGTTCGGTCAAATAGGTAGTAACTCCAGCGGACACATCGCTGTACTAATTCTATTGCCAGCGCTGTAGGCTCCGCCATCTTGTTTTTTGCATCTGTGCATAGCATGCATCAAACGCGGGTATGCGTGAAGGACATGCGAGCCCGGAATGCATCCCTGAGAGAACCGGCAATAAAAGAAGCTGGAACCCCCCACCCCCTGTCCGCAGCCCCCTAAGCCTACCCTGTTTGCATTGTTTCGCATTGCTCGGCGCGAAGCCCGAGAGAACTGCGCCAAACGCTCAGAAAGGGTTTATAAAGTGCAAAGCTTTTATTTCTTCAGACGACGTAAATCTGGCGTGTCACAATCGAGGCTTCCCAAGAGGGCCACGATGAGGCCGGGTCATTCGGCCACGGGTTCGAGAAAGGAAGCAGCGTTCTCCACCGCTTGGATAGCCACCGTCAGATGTTTATGGACATCGTCCCACTTGTCCTGGTCTTTGGCCGCAGCCACGGCGTCGGCCAGGCCTGGGAAGGTAGCCACGGACGACGAGCTGGAGGCCCAGATGACGTGGCTGTGGGAACAGAGGGAGAGAGCCGGGTGCAAATGGCATTCAAAGGCAACAATAGAAATGGAATAGAAATCAGCCGGTTCTACTGGAGTGTAGCGTTTACCAAGTTGGATCAGAAAGGTCAAGATAGCAGCTAGATTAATTCATTCAAATCACTGCAGATCCCATCAAAATTAGAGGGAGGGAGGAAAAGAGGGAGGGGAGGAAGGAAGGAAGGAAGGAAAGAAAGAGAGAGAGAGAGAGAGAGAAAGGCGAGTGAAGGAGAAAGGAAGGAAGGAAAAGGAGGGAAGGAAAATAGGGGAGGGAGGAAGGAAAGAATGAAGGAAGGAAAGAAAGGCAAGTGAGGGAGAAAGGAAGGAAGGAAAGGGAAAAAAGAAAGGAAGAGAAGGAAGGAATGAAGGAAGGCAAGTGAGGGAGAAAGGAAGGAAGAAAAGGGAAAGAAAGAAAGAAAAAGAAAGGTGAGTGAGGGAGAAAGGAAGGAAGAAAAAGGAAGGAAGGAGGGAGGGAAAGAAAGAAAGGTGAGTGAGGGAGAAAGGAAGGAAGAAAAGGGAAGGCAGGAAAAGAGGGAGGAAGGAAGAAAAGGAGGGAAGGAAGGAAGATGGATGGATGGATGGATGGATGGAAGGAAGGAAAATGTCAGGGTTCCAAATAACACCCCCAACGAAAGAAGACTCCGAGGCCTGAACTTCATCAAAGTTCCATTTTATTAGAGATATGAAGTGAGGGAAAAAGGAAGAAAGAAAAGGAAGGAAGGAGGGAACAAAAAGAGACAGGGGAGAGAAGGAAGAAAAGAGGGAGTTGGGGAGAAAAGAAGGAAACTGGAAGGGAGGTGAGGAAGAAGGAAGAAAGGAAAGAAGAAAGACGGAAAAGAAGGAAGGAAGGAAAAGAGGAAAGAAAATAGGAAGCAATTAGGAAAAATAAAATCGGGAGGAATTAGAAAAACAAAATGAGAAGAAGGGAGGAAGGAGAAGGAAAAGAAAGGAAAACAATTGAAAGAAAAGGAATGGAAAGGAAGAATAAGAGAAAAAAAACAAGCAAGGAAAGACATACAATTTCAGATTGCAGGAGAACTTGGCTTTTTCTAGCAATGGGCTACTAAACGTTGGAGCCGAACGGAATCCAACCTTAGGGAGGCTCAGCCTGAATAAATGGGGGGTGGGGGGGTGGAAACCAGGTGTGTGCTGGGCAGTTGAGTTACCTGTAATAATGCTTCTCTGGAAATGCTCTCGGGTTCAGGAATGTCCTTTCTAACAGCATCAGCTGGTCATTCACCGTCCGCAGAGCAAGAGGGCTAAACAGGATGTCCGGGATGAAGGAGAAGAGACTGTTTGGTTACCCACAATCCACTAAGCCTAACTGTGGCTTGTTCAAGAAACAGGACTCCAACCCACAAGGGATTAAGTAACGGTAAAGGTTCCCCTCGCACATCTGTGCTAGTCGTTCCCGACTCTAGGGGGCGGCGCTCATCTCCGTTTCAAAGCCCAAGAGCCAGCGCTGTCCGAAGACGTCTCCGTGGTCATGTGGCCAGCATGACTCAACGCCCCTGAAGGCGCACGGAGCGCTGTTCCCTTCCCACCAAAGGTGGTTCCTATTTTTCCACTTGCATTTTTTACCTGCTTTCGAACTGCTAGGTTGGCAGAAGCTGGGACAAGAAAAGGGAGCTCACTCCTTTCGAATCCCTGGGGATTCGAACCGCCAAACTGTCCACCTTTCTGATCGACAACCTCAGCTACTCAGCCGCCGCGTCCCATCCGCAAGGGATTGCAGGGTCATTAAACAATGACTGCAGTTGTTAAATCCGTTAAGTCAGTGTTTCTCAACCTTGGCGACTTTAAGTCCTGTGGATTTCAACTCCCAGAATCACCCAGCCAGCACAGCTGGCTGGG